AGAAGAATCAAGGCGGACGGCCCTCCTTGAAAGGGAAGAAGCCGTCCAACAGGCCGTACATCGTGACGCCCATTGCCCAAATGTCCACCTCTCGCGCGATATGGAAAGACTTCCCAGTATGGGGCTGACGACGCGAGAGTTGGAATCGGTCCAGCAACCCAGCTGTCCGAGCTGATGGCCACAGGAGCATGTGAGGAGGGAGGAGGATGCGCAAGATGATGCGAAGGAAAAACAACATCGAGAGGACGGGGGGAGAAGAGGAGTCAAAAGGAAATGTACGGAGAGCAGGAGGGGAGGAAAGGAGGGACAAGGCTTGATACATTGAGAATAACGGGAGGAGCAGACGTAGGACTGATGAGGGAGAGGAAGCGAACGATTCGAAAGTGGACATGGTGGAAACAAATGCGCATGTCCACCTGGCTTGGCGAAACAACACACATACACATACACATACACATACACATACACATACACATACACATACACATACACATACACACAACACACACAATCACACACACCCACACACATACACAACACACACACACACATCTCAGCTGGATGGGATCCACTGGGTGGCCGAATTCTACTCCCGGCCCCGTCCCACAGGCCCCCCTTTCTACCACCCCCTTGCCAGGCTCTAGGAAGGAGGAGGAGGAGGAGGAAAAAGAGGGAGGGAGGGAGGAGGGAGGGAAGAATGGGGCGGTGATGGGGGGGGCAATAACCAATAATGAACCCAAAATGCATGCGGCGCCAGCGATGCTGAAATACACACTCCCGGCGCACACCCCCACCCCAGGATGCATGTCCAATCCGCCACCCTGCCCTTAGCCACGAGGTGCTGTGCCCCCACATTCTCCACAGTTCCCTGTGTTTCGTATTCCAAATGTCTGTGTTGGTAAAAAGTAGAAAATTTACCCTCATACTAATCACAACGACCTGCGAAATCCTTCAGAAAAACGCACCCAAAGAAAGAATCCCAAAAGGCAGGGCTGTTTAATACACGCCCAGGGCCGTGTAATAAACGCCAACTATCGGGCCCGGGTCTTTTTCCTCCCTTGAATTTGGAAGATGGAGCAAAAATGGCGTGGTGTAAAGGGGTGCGGTGTGGACGCCCTGCGTGCCCATAGGAAAAAACGAGATGGGCGACTTCACTGCGTTGCCATCTGCGACACAGGCGGCCGAATCCAAAACAATGCTGGCACCGTTGCTCCAAGTGGGCCACGGCAAGGTGGGAACGAACGCAGGGGGTATACAAACGACCGGGTGGTAATGCAAAAACGGATGTGGCCCTTTAGTGTGTCACATAAACGTGAATCGTAAGCATTGGCATGATCGACGCAATCACCGTGTTGAGAAGATGTTCCGCGCAAGCCCGCCGTCGGATTGCGGGAAACGCTCGGTGCCCAAGAAGGCGTGCGAAAATGACCCCCCCCCGACTCGTTAAAATGCGAAAGGCCCTCTTCTACCTAGCCTTTTCTGCTACACCGCTCCCCGCATAACTGTCCAACCTTCGTTCGTATGTGCCTTCCCCTGGCCACGCCACGCCCATGGGCGCGCGCGGCAAGCCTGAGCCACGCGACTCTGGCACGGGGTGCGAAACGGACGCTGGGAGTCCGCCCCCCCATCGTCGGATTCGTTTGAACGCGCTGAATGGAAAACGCAAACAGGACATGACGCCGAGCACAAGAATGCATGGCCGTGTCGGGCTAATAATGAGGCGCATCAACATGCGCCCTTTTGATTTGCAGCCTGGCGACAAGCAGGGACCTCACACGCACCACTCCCCCGAATTGCGTGACCCACGAAAGAAAATGTCACTCACTCGGCATTTGGCCCAAGGAGCGCAGCGCGCGGAATATCACGTGTCACTGGTCGAGCTGTTTCGGCGAAGTTCCATAGGGAAACGTAAACGGTCGCATCGATGTTTCCCCGGGTCGGCCTAGACAGGCGCAACAGAACATGTGAATTGCGGTGTTGCGGTAAAGTGGCCCGCAGCATGCGGGCGCGAATGGGCTGGGCAGGCATTGGGACAAAGGGCGTGGGAAAACATAGGATTCTGCACGTTGCCCAAACGTCCGCCGAAAAAGGGCCTTGGAAGTCAAAACGGGGCCCGCGGCGATTTCAACTTGGCGCCACCGCAAAACTGCGATGTAGGGCGGCCTCTGTTTCAACGCTCAACCTCCACCCCCCGCCCACGAAACAATCATCGTAACAAATGCGCTGAGCTGCGCTGCCCTGGAAACCAAAAAGCGAAACATGTTTAGTGCGCCCCGCAATTTCCCTACACTTCATTTCGTGACTTCGCCACTCTGCTGTCTAAAGAGCCGACTGGTCTCTCAAACGCACTTTCATTATCTGCCTCCTCCGCCACCAATTTTTTTCCTGCATCCCCATTCGCCGGTACTTGCCTACACTGCGATCGCACGCAACTGCGCATGAATATATCATGCGTTTGCCTACTAGAACCACAACAATCAAATACGAACTTTCGGAATTCCAGAAAGTTGAAAAACGATACTCCGGAATTGCCGAAATTTGGAAAACGCAATTCCAAGAATTTCGAAATTTGCAAAACGAAATTCAAGAATTTCCGGGATGTCAAAACGGCTGTTTTTTTTCGCAAGCAAAGCAAAATTCCGTAATTTCCGAAATCTGTCAAAAACAAAATTTGGGGAATTCCGAAATTTGAGAGACGAAACTTCGGAAATTACGAAATGTCAACGCGAAAACTTTGAAATTCCCAAATTTGAACGCCAGACCCCTGGAACCTCAGAATCGCCAGAAGAGGTGGCCACCGCGCTACGCGCCTTCATGTCCAAGACAAGCTCCGCATCGGAACCGGCGGAGAAGTGAGAAGGAGCCTATCTAGATTGGCGGCATCTCATCACGGATGCGCCCGCGGCGCCAAAAATTGCTTTCAAAGCAAATTGTCGGGCGAGAAACCGGAGCATAGGACTTCTGCACCTCCGCCGAAGACACATCGTCTAAGCTGGAGATCCCCACGGGCCCACGAGGCGTTCTACGTGGTTGGATACACGAACGCGAACGCAGCCACTGGGGCTTGCGGTGGAACCCCCCATGGGGCTACGAAGCGCTGCGCGGGATAGAGAAACCGCAGCAAACCCTAACGCTGGGGCCCTCGACGGGGCCCACCGCGAAGGAGTTCCCAATCAGGCCACCAAGCGCTGCATTGGAGGGGAGGGGCCACAAGCGAGAGAAAATTCGACAGGACCCAACACTGCGCGCTGGGGATCGTAGGCCACTGATGATAGCAATCGCGGTAACGACAAAGTCTGTGATCACCCATGCGCAATCGCCGAAACGACAGCCACCGTGCAATGCTACCGCGACAGCCATTGACAAAAAGACGTCGCCGACGACTGCAACCATAATTCAGAGGGTGCCGCTGCCAACTGCACAGCGCCGCGCGTGCGCCGACCTCATATCCGCAAGAAAAGCAAAACGATAGGGGATAACTCATACGATGGGTGGGGATGGAGAGCGGCGAGGCGCACATGAGGAAAGACCTGTGTAGGACGAACAAGGCCAGGGAGAGAAGGATGAGAGAGCTGAGAAGACGTTGTTTTTTGTTCTAACGGAACCATGTTGTCGACAGTAACACGGCAACGCTGCACACCGGGCGCACACAAACACAGGCGAAACCAAACAGCCGAGCAAACAAAGAGGCATCGCATCAATGGCCAATTGGCCACCATCGCTTGGATGCGCCAGAACTGCAGTGCGAGAGCAACTGCAACCACGGACGCATGCACATCTTAACCTGATGCATCCGCTAGCTCCAAAGCGAACCACATCAACCATCACATCACCATACCGCCCCATTGAACCATACCCTTTGGCACCGCACCCCTGTCCCCCATCTAGATGGACTTGGGCCCGCAGCCACGCATTCTGGGCGCTGCCGAGAGCTTCATGGGGTGCCCCGGGTGCCTCTTGGGCCTTCCCGCCAAACTTTTCCCAGCGCCTGCGGGCCTCAGGACGGACCAAGAGGGTCCCAAGAGGGCCCCAAGACGGTCCGAGAGGGCCCCGACGGCGCAGGCGCGCCCCTGGACGGCCCACGACGGCGCCAAGACAGGCAAAGAGGCTCCACAGCCACCCCAAGAAGGCTCCAGCAGACGCCCCAAGAGACCCCACCTGGAGGCACACATCCTCTATGGCGTCTGGCCCCCCGACGCCCAAAACAGACATCAATAGTACGCACCGAACACACAACCCCGTGCTGGCGATAGTCACAACATGGGGAAAATAGAAGTGCGGGGCACCGAGGGTGTGAAAGAGATGTTCCCGGAAAGTCACATGCAGGCATGTACGGTGCACGGATGTAGGAGCACGAAGCCTGAGAAATCCTCCTCGCTCTTCGTTCTGGTTGGGCCTTGCCTGGATAGGGTAGGACTTCTACTCGATTTCTATGGTGTTCTACTCGTCGCGAAGGAGTACTCATGGTTGTTCTTTGGGGGTCATAAGCAATGACGGCGATACACAAGTTCAGCTGGAACTGGGGCGCGGAGGGAGGAATGAAAGGAGGGGGAGTAGGAGGAGGAGGACACAGAAAAGAGGAGGACTAGAAATAATATGAACAAACATAAGAACAGGACAAGGAGGGGAGAACAAGGAAAATAAGGAGAGCGACGAGGAGAGGCAGGAGGAAGATGAGGAGATTTCAAGAGAAATCCGAGTTCCGGGCCTATCACATTCGATAGGCAACACTCAACGATCCTTGGCGGTTTTCAACCTGTATTGTAGGAGTGAGTGCTCATGTATGCTCTTTGGGAGTGACCATCAATGACAGCGATCAACACATTCAGCTTGGACGCGGAGGGAGGAAGAAGGGGAGGCAGAGGAGTCCTTTGCTCACCGCGATATAGAAAGCATAAGACTAGGGCACCACACGGGGCCACGAACCCTGTGAGAGGTGTGCCAGCATGGGGCTCTACGAGAGGGTGATGATGATGATGATGATGATGATGATGATGATGATGATGATGATGATGATGATGATGACGATAACACAGGACGCTGCTTACGATAGCAAAGGAGAATCATGATAAGACGGTTGCATCTACG